AAGAATTGTGATTGGAAAGGAATTCATTACATATACAAATAGATCTGGTAGGATATGAGTGGAGTATTAATATTGCTTGAAACAGAACTATATTTTCTGCTTTGAATCATTTCACCAAAGTCATCTGTCTAGAATTCTGTGAGAATAAATAAGAATTTCTCTTTATTGCTTATAAACTACATTTTCTTCCTGAATTAGGGTAAATAACATCTGTTTGTAAACTGAACTTCATTATCTGCCAATTGTGGAATCAACATAATATTCTTTGGGGAAACTAGAGCTGATTCTCACTGCGAGGTTACATGGCAACTTTGTTCTAAGACTTATACCTATTATATAGGATGATACCTTTTTTGTTATGCCTCAGCTCTGTACTTGACAGTTTCTGATTCAGCAGAGCCAGCTAGAAGGAACAAAGGTCATCTAACTCTGCGGTGGGGATGGATTCCTGGATGTCACCTGTGCAGAGACGCTGACACCTTGGGATTCAGAACAGAGTAGTAGCGGAGAAAGAGATGGCTGCTCCAGATGACTCTTGCTTTAGTGTGCTTGTGTTTAACACAATTCTTTATATATGAAGCTTGATTCTACAACCAAAATACTAGAAATGACAGGAGGGAGAGTCATGTCTGCTTTTGCTTTTTAAAAGCTTATAGTTTAAGAGTAAATTATAAAAACTGATTAACCCTGTACAAGTCCGACGATGAGCTCTGCATGAGGAAACGGAAGGAGAAATGTTAGTGAGGTGGATGTGAAGAAGGAAAGTGGGTTTTCCTTTCCTGATCATGGGCTCTGGAAACTCCTCATTGCCTTTACCAGCATTCAGTATGAACCAGAGATTGAGGATATATATATACTGGCGCGTGTCTGTGAGTGTGTGTGTGAGAGAGTGTTATTCTAAACAGCTTGTAAATATTGTAGTTGTTGAAAATGGAAATAACAGCTGAGGTGTTTTTTTGGCAAATATATTGCATCAAAAATACAGTATTGATAGTGGATAAAACACTAAGGAAATAAATTTTTTTTTCATTTTGCCTTCTGTCCATTTTTGTCAAATTAAAAAAAACATAGAGTATTTTATATTAAGTTCTGTATGGACTATTCCTAAAGCATGGCTCTGAAATAATTTTAAACATAAACTCTGGCCTGTAAAGATGTAATTCAGCTTATAGATCAGAAATGTACATATTGATTTCATGTTAAAAGAGGATCTCTTGCACACTTGTCTTGGTACAAAGACTGTATCTTCTGAATTGATCTGAATGATACACATTAATGATTCTGCAGTAGATGGAACGTGTAGGATGATAAAGATTTGTGTGTGTTCAAATGCACCCTGCATTACAACACGAAGAAATGGAAAGAACATTTGGATTATGTTCATCAAAATCAGGAAAGTACAAATTTGTTTATTATACTTGTGATGTATACTGAGCCAGTCAGTAATTTCACATAATAATACTTAAAGAAAATGCAAACTGATTAATAATCAAAATAGGCATGCTCTTGATTAAATCGCATATTAAGGTAACACATAGTAACAGCCAGAATCAGAAAATACAGATAATTTGCCTTTTGCATTCAGACTGAAATCACAGAGCCATCACTGGAAACAT